ACTCTTATATTAGGAAGTCGAATCATCAAGCAGTGACAGTTTGTCACCATTAAATGGTAGCAGCAATTCGAATTCTTTAGCGTGACTTCGATGACTAACATTGAAACAGGAAAGAAACAAGTTAAGTTATGCACAAGGATAGATATGTTAGGATATCCGTTAAAAAAGTATGTATTTAATGTTCAGTGACTTTAAAACTTTATGTAGTTTTACACCAAGAACTATTTTACGTAGAGAAACGTGAAGCATAAGTGATGGTGCGGCTCCTTACGTTAGAGCAATAGGAATTGTATAAACCTTCTACGGGTCTCACTTGTAGAATGAAAGTTGCAGAAAAGGGATTAAAATATTCATGTCGCTATTGTAGTCATGCTGATTAATCTATTTTTTGCTATATTCTGGGCTTATATACCGTTTCAAGCTTTTATAATCGCTTTCTTACCTCTCGATTACTTAGCTAGAACGTTTTTACCTATCGAATTTTTCTTTATTTAGTTTTGCTACAACTAAGAACCATCGTCCATCTTTTAAATGACTAACACTGAGAAATACAGGAGTAGGTAACAAATGAAAAATACAAGTCTGATTCATTATGCTTTGTCTCCAGGCTGTATTTATAACGTGATTACCATCTTCAAACGTTTGTTTCAGTAGAACGTCTCTGACTTTTGACAACTGCTGAAATCTCTGATTTATATCACCATTTTCTACAAAGCAGCAGTTACTGCTTCTTATTATATTTGAAAATATTCTTCTTTGAAAGGATGAAGTCTACATCTTTTTTGATATGTATAACGTATGATAATTAAGGTTTGAGTAAAGAAAATTGTTTTCTTTGTTTACGTAAGTTATTTTGCTTATATTCTTACTTAACTACAGTAACTGCTGTAAAATAAAATATTTGATTTAACACAGTGGTGATTTACACAATTAAATAGATAATAATCATCATTGAACATAACGCTGTGCATATTTTTATGACAGCACGGTATTCTAACATGTGGAAAAGTTTTCATGAAACGAATCAGGTCCGTAATTCGACGGACAGGTGTGCTTGTAATCGAACACTTTATACACGCTAGTAAGTAATCATCATCTTCCATGGTCACTTCCATTTCGGGTCGCAGAGGCAGACGCGTCAGACTGAGCTTCCAACGTTCCCGATCCTGTGCCAGAGTCCTTGCTTCGGCAGAAGACAGCTGGAGTCTGCAGCAGACTCCGGCCATGTATTTGCACCACGTTAATCTTGGCCATTCTCTGGGCCTTCTTCCGTCGGTTTACTGTTGCTTAGCTGAACAAACAGCTGCTTAGCCTTCCTTTCTGGAGGCATTCGCAACACGTGCCCAAACCATCGCAGCTGTGACTTCTCAATCT